TTTCAGGTTTCATTCGTATTTGCAAATTCCTATAAATTATCGGTCCATAAAACGAAGACGTGTTGAATTGCGTTGTCTGTGCATCGGTATGCACACCCTCGTGAAAAACAGCGTGTTGTGGAACAATTTAACACGGGTGCACACGTGTTAAATTATTGCACGATCATTATCGTTAACTTTTCTAGAAAAATAATTTGAGTATATTAAATTTTTATTTATAAAATATGAATTATTAAATATTTTGTATAAGAACGGCCGGTCGTTTTGATGCCAATGGCAAAGAATTTTATCCAATTTTACGTACACACGGGTAGTAATATGTATATCGAAACGTGCTGGCGTGTACTCACGACCACTTTAATGGAGTGTGAGCGTTAAATGCAGGGAAGGTACTACTGTGTTTGGCCAGCATGTATACAATGTTCCTTAAACATATCGGTATGGTAGACGTACATGTATGTACTCTGAAGAAACGATTATTTGTAAAGTCTGTCCTTTAAAAAGGACAGGGCCTGAGGTGTCCATCTACCACTTGCGAGCAGCATTCTTCCCTTCCGGAGGTACCCCCACTACGGGACTCTGATTGACTCGCTCGAGTCAATCTGAGGTCGGTAGTCGGGGAAACCCACGAGGGGAGGCTTGAAATTGCTTGTAGCTCGTGTGTGGCATTTGGACACCTCTGGTAATAGAGTCAATTTTTATGATTGTCAGCGTGTTAATTACTTTTGATTTCACCCGTTAGTGTGTTCTTTATTATTCTCAAAAGTTTCACCGTCATTTGTAATGAAATAAGAAAATTAATAGAAGGTAAATTTATTTATCATTTAAATGCAGTATTAGTAAAATGTACAAACAAGCATTGCATATATTGGTCAGAGTGATGCTTCATGAATATTCGTATTTGTATCGAAGATATATTTGTCTTCATTTATATCTTTAATAGAAATAGGAATATTCAAAAAGCATCACTGACCAATATATAATGCTTGTTTGTATATTTTACTAATGAAACTGTGAAGAATTATATGAAATACATACTACCACGTTACTCGAAGACAGATATAAAAATTAAGTAGCGCATTGTGATACACATAGATTGAGCTAGAACGTAACGTTCTAGACATATGTGATATTAGAGATCCCATGTACAAGAAGGCATTTCGCGACGGGTAGATCTCTGAGTCAAAGTGACGTGTTTGTGATACTTATATCTTGATATATATCTTACATTGGCTTTGACGACGGGATCGCCCGAGGATTGTTCAATATATCTAGAGTCATGTATCTTATTGCAAAATCTTGCTTTGAGTCTTCCCAATTAAATTGTACAATATTAACAAATAATCAATATTTGCTTTTCAATTTTTATTAATACAAAGTCGAGTCACTTTTATTCCAAGAGAATATTAGCCCGTTAGAAAAGAATGAACTAAATAATATATTTTTTAGTTAGGATTTTCAGGATATTGATTCCGTGTTCGTTGCTCAAACCCTTTCACGTGCCCAGGTGCTACTTGATTGGGTGAGAGCAACGGGGAACGATGACTTGATTTCATATAAATAACATGTATGCGACTGGCGAAGTTAGCTTACCGTGCACGACGTATTTTCCACTTGTGTGTGTGTGTGTGGTTAGGCAGTGGAATTGCGTCGGTTTCCATTTCTATCAATTAACATTTCATCTGTAATTGTACCTTTGAACAATTTTTTACAATATCCGGTATCAATCGTACATATTCCTTTGCTTTATACAATGTCTATAATAAAATGTCCATGGAA